CCTCCATTTAACGTCCTATCCGAGGGACGGAGTGTTTTCCACTTGACATAACCTGCGTCTATGAACAAGGGAAGGGGCACGTTAACACACAACGCACGCTTTAGTCATCCGCCTGGGTGGGAGTCGAACCCGGGATCTTTGGTTCGACAGATGGACGCTTTACCGACTGAGCCAACTCGCCTCTACGAATTAAACGGTGTTCGTACGAACTTCGTAAGAAGGACGTAAGAAACTATGCCCCATCTAAGAATCTCTACGAACTCTGAAATTCGTACGAACAGGAATATTCGTACGAACGCATCGTTCGTACGAACCTTTGTGACCGTAGCTTAAGCCTAGGTCACAAATATCATTACGAACAGCTACCAATGCCGTAAGGACGATTTCAGACAATGGAAATTTGGGAAGACAATGTAAAAACAGGGAGATTCGTACGAAATTATCGTTCGTACGAACTTTTGTGACCGTAGCATTAAGACAACACCGTTTAAGCAAGGTCGCATTAGCAGGGAAAAACAATCTGAAAATTGTAAAGTATTATGATATATTTCTATATTTATTTTCCAAAAATATATATTTTATAGAAAATAATTGCACGTATACGAAAATAATATAAAGTACTTTTTGTATCTACAATTTGGATAGGGTTTTGGACATTGTACATTGACATTGGACATTGGACATTGGCTACTATTATACAATAACTCAATTATAATTACCTTCGAGTCTACTGTTCTTTGGTTTTCGTCTGAAAACCAAGCATTGGTGAAGATAGTTTCTCTCAGAATCAACTCCTGGATGCATGTCCGATGGCACAGAGCATCCGCTAAGCTCGATGACATTTTCATGCATTCGAGACGCTTCTGGTCCTGTTAAAATAAATTGAATTAGTTTAAACATCAAAGTTAGTACTCCAGTCACACCGAGATCGACACAAATCAACAACAGACCGCTCAAAAATGTCATTACCCCGAATTATGAAAGGTCAGTCGGTGTGTTGTCGGTTTGGCGGTGTCAATGAGGTATAAATGAGTTCAGATTCAAATAGAGGATGTAAGTTCATACTTGAGAATTAAAAAAAGGTCTTGTTAAAATGATGCCGAATGACAAAATTTTGAAAATATTTATGTAGAAATAGGTAAGAAAGTCTGGAGCTGGGACTCAATTTCTCGTAAATTTTAATCCAATGCTATCGTGCTGCATTTGGATTCATAGGAGGTAAACTCCGCCCGTCAAATCAGATTTGTATTAAGAAATAATGTCAATAATATCTAGCTCTTCAGATATGTGCGTGTTTTTTTTCAATCAATGTTTTGTTTCACTTGGATAGTTTATGCTATTGCTCATGACGTTTATCTTAGAAATGGCATAAGCTACAAGGTGAAATTACTGGGCTTAACCTATGTAAATTGTTTTTTTGTACAGCTGCATCATGTCTGTGATTCTTAGTGTGTTCATATTGTATCGATGCCTCCAAATATATATATATATATATATAAATACCTGGTCATGTAGAATATAGACCTTCATCCTGTTTTCCATGTTGATAGCCGACACAATGGGGTCAAGCTCCTCATCAGTGTAACAGTGAATGACGCTGCACAGACACGATCAAAAAGTCGTTGAAAAAATAGGTATGTTCTATTAATGGTCATCATTAGCTTCATATTATAATTATTGGTATACCCTAATGATGCAGCCTGGAAAAGTGCGGCCTTGGTCCTGTTTTGTACGTACACTGTCGCTCATACAGGTGGAATATTTTAGTTTTACCCCAATTTATGGAATTATTTTAAAAATAGTTTATAAATAATAGATCTAGATATAAGTATACATTCTCAGATTTGATTGAATAATAATTTGCATATGTGTGTTTTGCGTGAATGCTAAAGCATGTGTATGCTTCTATGCTTATCAAATAGGGGACCTACGCCCTTGAGGATTAATGCCCCACAAAAGGGCACTAATATAGCACATCGACACGGTTTTGATCCTGGGGCCTCACAGTTACGAGGCCATTGCTCTGTCACTGAACCATGACTGTACGCAGCGGGGGCTAGGGTAGGGGGCAGTTTCTATAAATGAAAAAAAAAACACAGAAAATGCATTTTACCCCGGTTCCCAACATAAAAAAATCCTCTGTGTGCCCATGCCTTGAGCCATAATGCATGGTCAATTTTGACCACACTGGCAAGTGAAGCTCCGTTTCTCAGTTCTTTCAATTGGGTTAGGCAGGTGCAAATCATAAATACTTCAATGCGATTTCTAAATGTTGGAGGAGAGGGTCAAGAGAGCCACTGTACATATTTTCCAGGCAGAGGCATCCTTTTATTCTCTTTGAATTACCGATCCTCAATAAGGCACATGTCGAAGTTTGCATCGCACACAATCAAGCATGTGCCCGAAGGCCGAAGATATTCGGTAATTACACTCTTCCGCTTTGCAACATCCCTCTTTAAAATGTTATATTGACTTTGGAACTTTACGTAATGTCTTACCGCAAGTTTTTCAAGTGTTGATGTTTTTGGAGAGAGCTCAGTATTGTTTTACAACGATTGTTTCCGATCACAAGTTCGTTGAATGAGAGATTGGTAAGTAATGGAAATGACTTCAAGAAAACATGTTCCAGATAGGAGGGATCTCCAACCAGAGGAACATGATATTCATCATCTTCAACAGGATCTTCTTCGGCGGGTTCGTAGTCATGTCCGTCAAATGACAGCTCTTTAAGTCCAGAATGGCCCAAGGATTTTACGATGGACGGGGACACTGTTTGGAGAGTAGTGAAACGCAGGTGTTCCAAGTTTGGAAATAGCATTTCCACAGTAAAGTCATGCTGCAGCATGACGTCGTGGCACCGATGATCTAGGTAAAGTTTAAGTATTGAATGACCTGACGCTCCAACCTATGTGAAAATAGGATTATACAAAAGTAGATTATTATTATGAGATAACCTTTAAGATTAAGGCAACAAGCGTTGCAATTCAAATTTTGAAGATCCAAACAGAATCAAAGAATATTTCACCAAATTTCTCAATGGTATAAGAATCATTTTCAGTCTAATCAAGGTTCTTCATGTGTTGTTAGATGGGTTAGGAAAATAGTAGTAATATAATATATCGCTATTTAAGATACTTTCCTTGTTTGCCTAGTGTGTTTAAAAGAAAGAAGAAAAAAGAAGAAGAAAAAAAAATCAGTTTTGTGAGCATTTTCTTAAATGTTAAAGGGATATTGAGTTCTGTTTTCAAACCGCAATTTGCCTTTAAAGTGCATGGTTATTGCAATTGGTCTTATCTATGACATTTCTAGTGCCCTTTTAGAACCTAAAATTGCTATGAAGGTAATTTTAGACCCCAATATGTGTGAAATTTAGCCAATACGAGCATACCAATTCTGCTCCACTTTCAACAAAACACGATGACCGTTAGTTAATTATTTAATTAAAAATAACACAAGTATTGGAAATTGTTATATTTCAGCCGTCTCTGAACTGATTTTGATCAAACAAATATTTATATTTTAAATATTATGTTCTTTCAAATTTGACCCTCAGTCTTTCAATATCTCACCAAAATAATTATTTTGTGTAGCGCCCTCTGCAAAAGAACTATCCCTTTAAGTCTGATTTTATGCAATATAACTCAAGGTTCATAATATTTGTTTGTCATGTTACTTCATCTTTGTATTCTTGATTTGTGTTAATTGTGTTATTCATGTGTTTACTTTTTACTCATTGGCCCGAATTCACAAAGACTAGACCGTAATTAAGCAATCTCAGTTCTCTGATTCCATGGACAGACAATAATGCATTCGTTCAGTTAAGCATGCGCCTGTACTGAACAACATAATTATACAGAGACTTTGGGCCCTAATTTGTCGTGCTTTATGGATGTACAGGAGCTAGTCCTCATTATTGACCTACACTCAACATTGCTCAGTGAAAAAGTCCTGTACAACATGAAGTATGTCGTTCGGAACAAAGTTGATTATGTTATCAATACCCGGCGGGTATCGATAAATAAGGAATGAAGTAAATCTCACAACCTTATATAATTTTTCTATTTGTACAGAAAATCGAGGAAACCCAGGCCTACGAATTGTAGACCCCCCAAATGGAAGCCTGACGAAAACTTTTCCCCGTTACTCTGGTCATACAGGTCAATATGGCTGTAATAGCTTCGCCAATATCGGCCAAGTCCAGAATCTAACAGGTTCTTAAATTTGATCTCTATCATATTCCCTACACTTGCTGCAAGCCGCCAAAGATTTTACGGCGGGCGATGAAATTTGGGGATTTATCATCTCCGGCTTGCAGGAATAGGGGAAGATCGCGGTAGTGCAGATTATTAGATATTAAATCGACCAGATTCTGGATTAATATCGACCATGAAGTCCGCAATCGAATGGGATTATATGTTGCCCTAGGTGATGATCCATATCATTGATTCATAAAATGTGTACATTTGCATAGATGTGCAATAATTAAAATATACTATAATATGATATAGCGTATATAGTAAAGGTTTTTCCCGGCCAATTTCCATGTTTGTTCAGTCATTGTAGAAAAACGTTCACTCAATTGTATTCAATGTATTGGTTCCCTATTAGTCGACAGACCCCACGATAGTGAGCACTATTTTTTTTTTTTTTTTTTTTTTTTTTTTTGGGGGGGGGGCCTCGAAAGATTCCCCACTCCCCCCACCCCCCTTGATCCGCCACTGTATGCACGCAGGTCAGATTGGGCGGATGACACAACGTTTCCATATGAATATAATATTTCCCTTCGTAAAGAGCGATTCGAACATTAACAACTGAAGTTTGTACTGCCCCATTCCATGATAACCTTATTTGTCAAATGCGGATAATAAAAGAGAAATATATTGTAAAGCTTTGACCAACTTATACATTGTAATAATGTCTGGAGAGGGCCCTTATTATCTATGTTTATGAGAACCCCCCCCCCCCCCCATTCAGATAATCCTCAGTCCGTCCCACTTTCATTATGTCTCTGTGAGGATTCTCCATACCTTTGGCGTCTTGACTTCACTCTCCAAGGTGTCATAGAAGTCGGCATGGAACGCCGTGCCACTGAGTTCCAATGCTGTTAATGCTGTAGATGAGCATATTACGTCTGCCAGGTCACGGGAAACTGTCGGACCGCATGATCTTCTACTCACTATCAGAGTTTCCTGTGAATAAAATAAAATGTGCTAATACAAGTTCTGTACGTCTAATTATTTTTGCAATAGTTTGTTGGAAAAGTAACATCAACATTTATAACAGCTAGAGTGTCATTTAACTAAAAGAAAGAATCACTTCCATGTTTTTCCTCATACATTCATTTCTTCCATGAAGAAGAGGTATAATTTAAGACTTATTAATTAAAATGGGTCGGTTGCATTTCTTTGATTGTTCCCGAACAATGTTCCGAAAGCACATATACAACAAAAATAATATGTTTATGGCAAATGGATTTCCAAAAGGAAATAAATCTCGAAATATGAATCATGTATACATGTAATAAAATATGATTTTGTATTATAATCATGTTACAATACTGTCTCGTTTTAAGTTGTGGCATTTTTGAGCAATTGTTAAAATCTCGACATTCACTATGAACATGAAGGACAAAGAAAGCGGACAAAATATACATTCCTCATTCTACCCTCAACAATTGCTGTGGTAGCCAAAGGAACATCCCTTCACTGCTATTATGTAAAAAATGTGTAGAACAGGTGTCACATGCATATTCACCTGTGCTACTTATTTCTACAAAATAGCAGTGAAGGGATATTCCTTTGTCTACCACAGCAATTGTTGAGGGTAGAATGAGGAACTGTATATTTTGTCCGCTTTCTTTGTCTGTCATGTTCATAGTGATTATTATCTTATCCATGATGAAGAAATATCCGGACACAGTGTGCTCTGACATGTTGTCGTTGATTTGTAGTGACTTTTGTTTTGCAAATATGTACTGTCCGTCTTGTGTCCGACCATTTTCGTCGATTTTTTTCATTTAAGTAGTTATTTTATTTTTTTTCATGATTTTTGTATGATACATATTAAATGAATTATTTATAAAATTAAATATTATTTTTATTATTTCATTTTACATTACTTTTTCGGTTGTGGAATTTTCGAGCAACTTATCAAATCTCACCATTGTTAACTTTTCCATGATGAAAAGATATCCAGACACAGTGTGCGCTGACATCCCGTCGTCGATTTTTAGTGACTTTTCTTCTGCAAAGAGGTGCTGTCCGACCACTTTTGCCGCATCTCCATCATACGCTTCGAAGGTGACATCCACTAGAATATGTCTATACAAATGTCCCATTTTAATTAGCCGGCTAGTGACATCAGTAGCGACGCTCTTCTTTTGAGATGCAGTAAAGTATAGAAGGTAGCGAAACTCTTCTGCTCTCTTAATCACATCATTCATCGCCTCTTCATACTGCTTGTGACCAGACTCAAAAAGAGAGGCAAGATACATACCTGCGAAGTACTCCTGGAATAACTTGTGAGGGAAGAAGACATTTGCTTTCACAAGATTCGTCGACTTAATATGTCTATCTTGTCTACGAACTAACCGCGTTTCATGACTGAGTACTCCAACCTTACAGCATGTCTCCATTGATTCTTCACATGAACTGAAATCAACTTTTTCATAAACTAATTGCCTGTTTATGATGCCATATAATGCAATTTTCCCAATTTGTGAGAAACAAAAGTCGAGCTGCGTATAATGTGTATCAGTTTCTATATCAAGATCTGTGACCTGCTTGGAAACGTAGTGGTCTTTCAGGGATATGAGGATTTCTTTGAAAAGCTGAGAAAATGTCTTTAGTCTGCGAATTATTTCTCGTTTCTTGCTATCAGAATCCCGCCATAAAACACAAAGCATTGCGATGTAAATTGGAAAGGGAGCCATATTTTCTTGAATTACATCATTGTCTACAATGAGTTTGACCAAATCTCGACTTGCCGAAGAGTCGTCCGCAAAATATTTGTTGATGTAGATTGAAATATGTCTTTTATCGAATCCGGCCACGGCAATAAAAGCATAAGTTTTCATGAAATTTGCGTTTGATTTGATTTGGTCTGCTTTCCAAGGCCGTGTCGTAACGAGGACCCTACATTCCTTGAACTTGTCCGACCTGATTATCTTAGCAATGTCGTTTCCTTGTTTGACAAGATCACCGTCGTACTCATCCAGCCCATCAAGTATAATGAATACCTTCGAGGGATTAGCCAATATATGTTCGTCGATCTGGTGTGGTTGTACCGGGTTACTATCTGAGAGATATGTCTTTGCGATATCCCCTACTGTTTGATTCCTTTCGATATCACGCAGAGGAATAACAAGAACCCAGACAAACTCTTGAAAATCGTCAGCTCCATTCGTCCAGTCCCATGCTATCTTGGTACAAAATGTTGTTTTACCTGCTCCTCCTTCGCCTTCAACCATGAGACGTTTTGGTAGTTCCCCGTTTACCTTTGTTTTGAGAAGTTCCTTGTAGTCTAAGGGTATCTTCTTCATCGTTCCCTGTTCGTTTCTGAGGAGGACTAGGTCAGTGTAAATCCTTTCGAATTCTAAAACTAAGTGGAAGTCAAGTGGATCTGTCTTGATCTTGAACAAATTTGTTCGGTAGTGAGTTTTGAAATCGTCCCCACAACGGGTAACCTGTTCAGTTGTGAGAGGATCTTTTTCGCTCGCCATGGACACTAGTGGAAAAATGATCATAATCGTTTAAATGACGCATTATTTGTCTATACTGTATCCCCAAACAACATTTGGTATATGTTTAGGGTGCTTCTTATTTACGTCTACTTAGTTTAATTTCGTTTTGTTTCAGTAATGTACACATCAAAGACAAATGAGAAGGAAAAAAATAATATTTTATACAATTTATCCAAGGATCAATATCCTTTCTTTGAATTATGATAAAATAGGGTGTAAAGAATAAAAATTTCACAGTTTTATAATGTAATACATGAATGTGCTTGAAAAGTTCTCTGAAATCATTCAAATTTTTAGAGTGCAAAGCTACGATTTTGCTTTCTGATGTTACTTTTGTTTAGTATAGTCCAATCGAAATTTTCTTTCAAATGGTGGTTTTAGTATGTACTGTTCTAATGGTAGGACAAAAACGGAATGAAGCTATCAATAAAGGAAAAAAAAGTGCACACTTTCTGAGTGAACTCTCAGTTTTTGGTATTTCACCTGAAATATGATAATACATAAATAGACCCTGTACATTTAGCGATTAAATACACGATACTCCGGTCTACTTTTCAGCATACTTCTAAGAAACCGAAACGTTTAATCATGTAATTAATTACCACTGATCTGAGACGAATTAGAGTGGAGCAAACTATAATTACCTAGAAACGGCCAACATATGAAATTAAAGTAACCCAACACATTTCAGTTATAAGATATGCAAAGTGACATTTTCAATGCCTTAACAACATAATACTTGCTTACCAGTTGGAGCTGCTTCTTGCGGGAGATAGCCACCTGTTGGAAAAATTGGCATAATCGTTTTTTTTTTTTCTTCTATCAAATGAACTATTTGTTATTTGATGATGTCCATAAACAATCTTCATACCAATTCAGCGAATACTTTTTCCTCCATATAATTTAGGAAAATATATGTACTGGAAGGAAATTTTAATTTAAATCATTTGGCTAGTGGTAATACATGATTGCGTTGTAAACATAATACAAACAGCAATATTCCACTATTATCACGGAGCCGTACACATTGTATATTAGATGCTGTTTATAAATATCGGCTTGCATGGGGATGTAGATATACAGTACACTTATGGTTCCACCATGTGAGAGGGGGAGGATTGGGGTGTCCTGAAAAGGACTGTTGGTAATCTTTCTTGAGCTTATAGTTCTAAAGAGAACTTTAGCACCGGTAGGAGAGGCTCGACGATTAAAATGGGTTGACTATCCTTTTCAGGACTACAGACCAGGCGCGGATCCAGGATTTCTTGGGGGGGGGGCCCAAATTTGAAATTATGGGTCTCAAAAAATCACAACGACTCAGCCAGCCGCTGAATAAGCGGGGGGGGGGGGGGGCAGGGGGAGGGGGGTCGTAAGAGGACACTTTTTTTTGGGGGGGGGGTCCCAAAAAATCGCATTGACTAAGCCAGCCGCTGAATAAGCGGGGGGGGGGGGTAAGAGGACATATTTAAATCGAAGGGGGGGGTTCCCCCAAAAAACATGCACAAAACATACACATTAAAAAACTCAGGAGGGGGGGGGTTAAACCCCACCCCACCCCCCCCCCCCCCCCCCCCCCCCCCTCTGCGTACGCGCCTGTTCGAGCCTAATATTGGTACGTAATGGTGACCGGTATTGACGTAATGGGGGGGGGTGCAGGAAGGGGAGATTGTCCCCCTCCCTCCTCCGCAAAGCGCCGAGGCTCTGAAGTTTCATTAAATTATTAGAGAAAGAAGGCGAATCGTTGTACCGTTCTCGAAAATAATCCTCGTCTGAATACAGTTCCCCCTCCCCCCCCCCCCCTTCCCGCGCGAAGCGCGGAAGGTTTTATGTTTCATTAAATCATTAGAAAAAGAAGACGATTCGTTGTACCGTTCTCGACTCTTATTCCTCGTCTGAATTCAGTTTTCCACGCAAAGCGCGGAAGCTTTTACGTTTCATTAAAATCATTAGAGAAAGAAGACGATTCGATGTACCGTTCTCGACTCTTAATCCTTGTTTAAATATAGTTCCCCCACCTCCTGCGCGAAGCGCGGAAGCTTTGACATTTTATTTAATTATTAGAGAAAAAAGACGATTCGTTTTACCGTTCTCGAAAATAATCCTCGTCTGAATTCAGTCCCCCCCCCCCACTCCCGCGCGAAGCGAGGAAGCTTTGACGTTTCATTACAATTATTTAAGAAAGAAGACGATTCGCTGTAACGTTCTCGTCTCTTAATCCTTGTCTCAGTTTAGTCTCCCCCTCCTGCGCGAAGGCTTTGACATGTCATTAAATTATTAGAGAAAGAAGACAATCGTAGTACCGTTTTCGACTCTTAATCCTTGTCTGAATTTCAAAATGTTTTTTGTCTGCGCCTTTTTCTTCCTACGTCCTCTTCCTTTTCTATCCTCTCTTTTTTTTTTGGGGGGGGGGCGCCCCCACCGCCCCCTGGCTACGCGCCTGCGGTCAGATGAACATATTTTGATACCTTGTCCGCCCCCGGAAACTCAGGTGTTTAAGGCAATAAATTACGGTCAGATAAGCATTCAGGGTCCCGCCTTAGGGCCCCTGGTGGGGTCGAGGGTGCAGAAACCCCGGAATCTCAGGGGTTTAGGCATTTGATTACTGTCAGATGAACATATTTGTATACCTTATTTGTGACACTGGCAGGACACTGATTGGCGTGAGGTCCAGCAAGCGGAGCCCCCAGAAGCTCAAGGGTTTTAGGCACTAAATTACGGTTTTAGGCACTAAATTACTAAATCAAGGGGCCCGCCATAGGGCCCTTAGTTGGTTACTGGGGGCAGAGCCCCCGTAAGCTCAGGTTTTTTTTTATAGGCGTTTAATTACGGTCAGATGAGCATTTTTGATATTTTATTTTGTTGTGACACTGGCAGTTTATACCTATTCTTTTTAATATTCTTTTTCAAAAAATTCGGGGGGGGGGGAGGGAGCTGGAAGCTCCTGATCCCTGCCGTTCCGCGGGCCCTGACATGTAGGCATCTCAAGAGGCATATTTCTAGCCTGGCTGTAAATTTAGGAATTTGTCATTTTACAACAAAGGCATAAAAAAAGTATAATTTACTAAAATACGAGAAAAAATCTCGGAAAATTATGTCATTTCAGCATTATGTGTTAACCACCGTTATGGAATGAGAAATAAACCACGATTAAATTTTATTTCCCCCGAAATCTCCTCTTTTCCTTTTTTCTTTCCATTTTCTTTATTTTTTGATTGGGGGGGGGGCAACAGCCTAGGAGGCGAGGCCCCCCCCCCCCCCGATCCCCTTCTTCCCCCTTTTCTTTTCTTCTTCCTCTTCTTTCTTTCCCTTTCTCTCCTCTTTCACTTTTTTTCCTTCTCTCTCTCTCTCTCTCTCTCTTTTTTGTCCTTTTTTTTTCCTTCTTTTTTTTTCCTTCTTTTTTTTTTCCCCTTCTTTTTTCCCCTTCTTTTTGTCCCCTTCTTTTTTTCCCATCCGCCACTGCTACACACACTCAAGAGACATTACCAACAGTCCTTTTCAGGACTTCCTAATCCTCCCCTCTCATACGGTGCAACCGTAAGCCTATTGTATACATTGCATATTTGTTATCGTAAATATCAAAAGTGCATCTCATTTCCCTTCTCACCTTAAACTTGAGTTGTATGCATTTTACCCATATCTTAAATGCTCTTTATGTTCTTTAAAGGTAATACAAAGTTTTGGGAAATTTTGAAAATTGGATGGATAGTGAATCTTTACAATTTTGATATATTTGGATGCCCCTGTGGATGTATTATAAGCACTAAAAAAATTAACCCCTAAAACACTTCTGTTTTCGAGAAAAATTGAATATACAAATTTACCGGTGCTCCCGGTAAATTTTGATAAATTTCAAATAGCGCCTACGGTCGTACAATGGTAGCTGCGACCATGGAAATCTCAGAATATGTAGTTGTGATATATAATTTCCAAACGGGAATAGCTAATCGGTCGATTTTAGTCAAGAAACATTGTTTCATAGCTAAATTAATATTTTGACCCTGAGAGGGAGCTATACAACATGAAGAGTTTATTATTTATAATTTCATAACTTTAGACTCGATTTCAACCGGGACAACGATCAATGAATATTGTAGGAACGCATATGCTTCCAATATGTTAATTTGAACCAAATTCATGACGCCATACCAAAACTTTGTAATACCTTTAAGAAAAAGAGCTTTCGGTTTGAATTTGTTTAGAATGCATGAAAAGGGAAATATTAGTAGTTGTTTTTCCTGGGTGGTCAGATCAAATTTGTTAACAAACAGTCTATACATATTAGGCTACATGCCAAAAGCCCTATTATAAAGCGACAAAACCTACATAAAAGTTTTTAACAACACCATGACAAATATTTCCCTGACCTTTCTATAGAACACTATTGTTAATCATAGCATTCATTGTAAAATATGATATATTACGATTAACAGGAGTTTTAAAGAATGAAGTGAAATTCATGATAATTTGTGCCTTTGAATTTTTCACTTTTCTTGAGGATTTATGAAGGAAGACACCTGCAGTGTCTAACTCTTGCATTTGGGCATATAACAGTTACCTTCCAAATTTGTCAGCTTATATAGTATGCCTAACCCCAAGGAAATGACACTAATGCATGAATAATCAACATAATTTAACGAAATAATATAGAAAAATATCAAATACCAAGACAAAATCTTCAAAGTGCGTTTCAATGTAATAAAGCATAACTATACCTCTGGACATTTTGTCACCGAGTGCGTCCAGTTTAACACCACACAGCGCCGCAGCAATGCCGTTACGACAAGCTGTGCACTCTCTCTGTCTGTTCTTCCACTGACAGAAGATCTGAATAAGTGATTCTGTGAAATCCCAGTGACGTCTGTCAAGAATGGTTTGGCTCTGATCGTAAGACACACCAAGTGCAATGCACAACTGTGTGTATTTTGATGAAGGAACATCGTACGCCAGGTTTACCAGTTCTTGTTCTTGAATATTCGCTG